ATTAACAAACCAGTGTGAAAAGTGGAGGTAAAAACATATAAAACAGAGTTATCTTTCTTTGAGGTACAGTTTACGGGACAATTACATATGTACTTATCGAGATAAAAAAAAATATGATTAGATATGACATGGATATCATACACCTCAGACATTCTGCTTCACGGTGGTTATTATAATTTACAGAAATACAGATTTCTATGACATGATATAGACAACTATTATCGATACACGTACTTAAATAGCCAAGCAATATCAGCGAGCACGATAACAATATTGCTATTTACATGTTATGCCTATATATTTATTCTCACTTACATTATACGTATATCTATAACATCAACAGTACGATGTTTCTAAAAGAAAAACTATCCATCTTTCCAATCTTTCCAACGATACAAAGCATTTTTGTTCATCAACTAGAAATGTGTTTTTTTTTTTATGCAAGAAAGGTTGTTTGCGGTCGATTTTCCAACATCGAGAGCTTTCCGCCCTTCTCGTATATATCATCATTGAGGGTGGAATTTTTACCGAAAGTTGATCTTAACCCCTAAAACGTTCAAAATTTCGCAATACCTTAATTTAGGTCCACATATAAATGTAACAAATTCTCAGGTTCTCTTGATATATCTATAAATATATACACGCATTATCTGAAGAATTTCATTATCGCACGAAGAGTGAAATCATTTTCTGTTGAACTATTTATATATCAAAGAAAAGAAAAATGTATCTTTGCATTGTGTCACTCCCTGTAATCGTTTATAAACTGTTGTGTTACAGTATTACGCCCTGTTATCGTTAACAAACTATTATTAGTGGTAGAGTGTTTAACTGCCTCACGCCCTGTAATCGTTTACAAACTGTTATTTGGCCTCAGACCACAATTACACTTCCGGGTAGTTTTACACGAATGTAGTGCATAAGGACATTTCAGGTGGGTTACTAAAAAATTTTCCTGTCTGATCTATGCCATATATGTACAGTTTGTTTATATGGATTGTTCAACAACATCTATTCTAGTTATTGAATATTATTTGACACAGTTTGTATTGGCAGCAGGAAACAATAAATGATGAAGCTTGAGTTGTGATATTGTGTGATGTTTGGTAATTTCTCCTATACATGCAGGGTAGTGACATTCAAATGAAATCATCTTTCTTAAAGGTTGGCCATGAGGTACTTTCCAGCTCACTGTATGTTCAGTTTGAATAGACCTACAATATGAAATAGGAACCAGATCCTGCGCAAAGTTTTAAAATTATTTAAACTAATTTTTCCTTTGGTAGTAACATAAAGTAGAATTAAATGTGGTCTGAGGCCATTTTACCGTATCACGCCCGGTAATCGTTAACAAACTGATATTTTACCGTATCACGCCCGGTAATCGTAACAAACTGATATTTTACCGTATCACACCCTGTAATAGTTAACAAACTGTTATTTTACCGTATCACGCCATGTAATCGTTTACAAAGTGTTATTTTACCGTATCACGCCCTGTAATCGTTTACAAACTGTTATGTTACCGTATCACGCCCTGTAATCGTTTACAACCGTTATTTTACCGTATCACGCCCTGTAATCGTTTACAAAATGTTATTTTTCCGTATCACGCCCTGTAATCGTTTACAAACGGTTATTTTACCGTATCACGCCCTGTAATCTTTTACAAACTGTTATTTTACCGTATCACGCCCTGTAATCGTTTACAACTGTTATTTTACCGTATCACGCCCTGTAATCGTTAACAAACTAATATTTTACCGAATCACGCCCTGTAATAGTTAACAAACTGTTATTTTACCGTATCACGCCCTGTAATCGTTTACAAACTGTTATTTTACCGTATCACGCCCTGTAATCGTTTACAAACAGTTATTTTACCGTATCACGCCCTGTAATCGTTTATAAACTGTTATTTTACCGTATCACGCCCTGTAATCGTTTACAACTGTTATTTTACCGTATCACGCCCTGTAATAGTTATCAAACTGTTATTTTACCGTATCACGCCATGTAATCGTTAACCAAACTGTTATTTTACCGTATCGCGCCCTGTAATCGTTTACAAACTGTTATTTTACCGTATCACGCCCTGTAATTGTTTAGTTAACAAACTATTTAATTTCCGAATCACGCCCTGTAATAGTTAACAAACTGTTATTTTACCGTATCACGCCATGTAATCGTCTACAAAGTGTTATTTTACCGTGTCACGCCCTGTTATAGTTAACAAACTGTTATTTTACCGTATCGCGCCCTGTAATCGTTAACAAACTGTTATTTTACCGTATCACGCCCTGTAAAAGTTAACAAACTGTTATTTTATCGTATCACGCCCTGTAATCGTTTACAAACTGTTATTTTACCGTATCAAGCCCTGTAATCGTTTACAAATGTTATTTTACCGTATCACGCCCTGTAATAGTTAACAAACTGTTATTTTACCGTATCACGCCATGTTATCGTTTACAAAGTGTTATTTTACCGTGTCACGCCCTGTAATAGTTAACAAACGGTTATTTTACCGTATCGCGCCCTGTAATCGTTTACAAACTGTTATTTTACCGTATCACGCCCTGTAATCGTTTAGTTTACAAACTATTTAATAACCGAATCACGCCCTGTAATAGTTAACAAACTGTTATTTTACCGTATCACGCCCTGTAATAGTTAACAAACTGTTATTTTACCGTATCACGCCATGTAATCGTTTACAAAGTGTTATTTTACCGTGTCACGCCCTGTAATAGTTAACAAACTGTTATTTTACCGTATCGCGCCCGGTCATCGTTTACAAACTGTTATTTTACCATATCACGCCCTGTAAAAGTTAACAAACTGTTATTTTATCGTATCACGCCCTGTAATCGTTTACAAAGTGTTTGTTTTTTTACCGTTTCACGCCCTGTAATCGTTTACAAATTATATATGCATAGCTAAGTGGAGTGTTTTTGCCTACACCCTACCCGCCCTCCTCCTCCACCCCGTAATCTTTCACGAACATTATTAGTGGTTGATTGTTTTACCGACCTCGATAACAAACCAGAACATCCTTTCTAGTTAGTACGACACGCCTTTACGATTTTCAGCTGAGGGCATACTAATAGCTTTAGTATATAACATGTCTTAAATGTGTTAACAGCTGTACGACTGATGAGAAAAATACCAAAAACCAAGTGAAATTCACAACAGAGAACGCATGTATTTATCCAATCATCAGCCGAAATCTGATCATGTGGTGTATCGTCGTCTTTTATTTTAAATGAGTGTAAATATTGAGTAGTCCTATATGATAAACAATTTCTATTCCTAGTGTTAGTATTGTGTAGTCCTATGATACACACTGTCTTTTCCGAATGTAAATATTTAGTAGTGCTATGATAAACACTGTCGGTTCCGAGTGTAAGTATTGAGTAGTCCTAAGATAAACACTGTCGGTTCCGAATGTAAATATTGAGTAGTGCTATGAAAAACACTGTCGGTTCCGAGTGTAAGTATTGAGTAGTCCTAAGATAAACACTGTCGGTTCCGAATGTAAATATTGAGTAGTCCTTCGATTAACCCTGTCTGTTCCGAATGTAAATATTGAGTAGTCCTATGATAAATCATGTCTGTTCCGAATGTAAGTATTGACTAGTCCTATGATAAACCCTGTCTGTTCCGAACGTAAATATTGACTAGTCCTATGATAAACCCTGTCTGTTCCGAACGTAAATATTGAGTAGTCCTATGATAAACCAAGTCTGTTCCGAGTATAAGTAATGACAATGGTGCGGCTCGCTTGAGACAATCTGGCTTAGTTCACGTTCCTGATAGAGTAGATAAGTATCAAAACAAACACCAGTGTTCCCTATTATAACGTGTTAATACATCGTAAGTCTAATTATGAATAATAAAAATATGATAGAAAAATAAACCTAGCCCTATTCCTGATATCCTCATATATTGCCTCCCAGTTCGCGCACTAATACGTGTGGGAAAGAGATCACGTACAAAACGTAACTCAACAGGGATGCAACACTAGGTCAGCCAAGGTCATTCTCGTGGCATCAAAGAACTCGCGAAGTAGTCCAATAAGCGAATCTGTGAAATCCATCAATACGCGTTGCCAACCGTTTGGTCTCATCTCTGAGGTTTACCATTCCTCCAATCTTCTCCACTGGGGTCATCTAATACGATTACGTCCCGTTTTAGTTTTTTCATGATGTTTTACCCGACAATACATAAACAAGTATCAGTTGTGATTGCGTTTTCGGGCATTAACTAGAAGGAAACGCAGATATATGCTCCATTTGTGTAGAGTGTTTACTGCCTATTCCGACAACTAGATGTTCAACACTAGAGCTACAAGGCTAACACGCATTTAAGACAATGCAACACTCCAAGCCGGTAACACGTTTAAGTATATTCTTTATAATCTTAAGACTATTAGCACTTATAACATATTCTGTAAGAATCTCGTTGACACTGATGTACCCGGTGACATGACTTTCGATCATGTCGATAGGTTTGGTCATGTAATCATTGACAGGCAGGGGGCAGTCATGTGACTGCCGATAGGGTTGGTCATGTGACCTGTATGGTGTCAATCAAGTCAAAAATCAATCGTAGACAGATTTTCAAAGAGTTTGGTAGTCACGTTTCCGATCACTTTCAGTACTAATATGCAATGCCGGATATGATATCAAGTCGGGTTTTTTTCGGACCCAATTTTATCAGAGATTACTGACTTCCGATTAAGGAAATCCATCCGGACGAGTGATCTTATAACCTCGCAAGCTGAATTGAAAGGTTGGCAACATTTCCAGACTAAATAAAAACTAACCATACATCTGATTATTTTCTTCCGTCTGACAACATCGAACAAGATTATTTCACGATCAGCAGACCTTATTTTAGTTCCGAAGGTTGATGGGATGGGCTTTTGATGGTATCGACCCATTTCAAAGACATACTTTGATAGACGGAGGAGAACACAGAGCAGAAACAGTACTCACCGTATCGGCGTGAAATCCCGCAATCCCACCAATCCACAGTCTGAAAAATATAAAAGGTGAAATTCCAATTATCAAAAATGCGATTCATGTAGTAAATCGCACCTGGTATGTTGTAAATTTCACCTGGCTTGGCTCGAAATCTATTGACTTTGCACGTGCTTCTTCTAAACTTAAACTTAACAGCTATACAAGAAATTGGATTCCGTGTATTAGAAATTCTGAATATAAAAATAACATCAAACTGCATGTAATCACAACTGCATAGCAGTCTCAAGTGTACGATGTACTCTCAAGTATATACACGAGATTGGACAGGGTAATGTTATTAAATGTATCTGTGGGACTTTGTCGTACAAAGCGTGGTCGGACAGAAATGCTATAGATAATTATGTGTCCTCAATACATTAAAGGTCATTTATACCGCCAGAGTAACAAACTTAACTTGATATCAAGTGCACTTTGTAGTGCACATATCTAGTACACTTTGTAGTGCACATATCTAGTACACTTTGTAGTGCACATATCTAGTACACTTTGTAGTGCACGTATCTAGTACATTTTTCAGTGCACATATCTAGTACACTTTGTAGTGCACATATCTAGTACACTTTGTAGTGCACATATCTAGTACACTTTGTAGTGCACATATCTAGTACACTTTGTAGTGCACATATCTAGTACACTTTGTAGTGCACATATCTAGTACACTTTGTAGTGCACATATCTAGTACACTTTGTAGTGCACATATCTAGTACACTTTGTAGTGCACATATCTAGTACACTTTGTAGTGCACATATCTAGTACACTTTGTAGTGCACATATCTAGTACACTTTGTAGTGCACATATCTAGTACACTTTGTAGTGCACATATCTAGTACACTTTGTAGTGCACATATCTAGTACACTTTGTAGTGCACATATCTAGTACACTTTGTAGTGCACATATCTAGTACACTTTGTAGTGCACATATCTAGTACACTTTGTAGTGCACATATCTAGTACACTTTGTAGTGCACATATCTAGTACACTTTGTAGTGCACATATCTAGTACACTTTGTAGTGCACATATCTAGTACACTTTGTAGTGCACATATCTAGTACACTTTGTAGTGCACATATCTAGTACACTTTGTAGTGCACATATCTAGTACACTTTGTAGTGCACATATCTAGTACACTTTGTAGTGCACATATCTAGTACACTTTGTAGTGCACATATCTAGTACACTTTGTAGTGCACATATCTAGTACACTTTGTAGTGCACATATCTAGTACACTTTGTAGTGCACATATCTAGTACACTTTGTAGTGCACATATCTAGTACACTTTGTAGTGCACATATCTAGTACACTTTGTAGTGCACATATCTAGTACACTTTGTAGTGCACATATCTAGTACACTTTGTAGTGCACATATCTAGTACACTTTGTAGTGCACATATCTAGTACACTTTGTAGTGCACATATCTAGTACACTTTGTAGTGCACATATCTAGTACACTTTGTAGTGCACATATCTAGTACACTTTGTAGTGCACATATCTAGTACACTTTGTAGTGCACATATCTAGTACACTTTGTAGTGCACATATCTAGTACACTTTGTAGTGCACATATCTAGTACACTTTGTAGTGCACATATCTAGTACACTTTGAAGTGCACATATCTAGTACACTTTGAAGTGCACATATCTAGTACACTTTGTAGTGCACATATCTAGTACCTTTTATGATATACAGTCGGACACAGCAGGCATACACTTTTCCAGCCTGCAATGTTTACTCTTTCAATCGTGTCATGTAACACCAGACTTAATTGGTACAAAAAAGAAAATAATGAAGCACTTCATATATACAAAACACAAAATGATAGATGTATTTTTGTCCAGCAAAGACGCATTCCGCGTTATTTACGTAAAAGTAAACTGGCACTTTTCACATGAAAACATTAAGTCTCGTTAGAACCATTTTAGGTACATGTGCTGTCAAGAAGACGAATGACTCGGCAGTCTATGATAATGACTCGGCAGTCTATGATAAAGACCGTTGACACATTTATCTAAGTAAGTACGCCACTGTCGTACACTTACTGCACTGATACCCCCACAAAATAAACGCTACGCACGAAGAGCGAGAGATATTCCAAAAAAACAAAACAAATTCCGTCCGTATTGTAACTATTATCTAGCAGATACTTTATGCGATGTCCCTTTGATTTATAATCGGGATCTTCAAAACTGGTTACGTTTTCCATCGATCAGAGATCCGGTGTACAATTATGGCGCTACAGATATAAATCTCGCTCGTATATTACACAACAGTAGGAACAGACTTATGTTTCAGGACAATAAAAAATACAGCCTCGGACGTTTGTTCCAGAAATCACCCTGTTCTACCAGGGAGACATGGCAGATGACTTCAGAACGATTGCAATGATTTTATTTTTTCCCCTCGTGTTTCACGCATGTCACCATTACAAGTACATGTTACGTCAGACGCTAACATTCCGGAAACAGTATTTGCAGGACCTCCAGCTTATATCACTCACACGAGCGCAATATCAAAATGCATGTGTAAATGATCATGCTTGACATCTTTTGGTCACTAAGATATTAATGTGGTCGATATTGTACCCTTCCGCATCCTTACTCATTAAATACATGAACACCCAATTCCCGCGTACCCGCGGTACGTCGGCGAGCATATTTGATTACTTATGCACGTATATTTGATGACTAATACACACATATTTGATGACTAATACACACATATTTGATGACTAATACACACATATTTGATGACTAATACACACATATTTGATTTCGTATACACACATATTTGATTACTTATACACGCATATTTGGTTACTTATACACGCATATTTGGTTACTTATACACGCATGCTCGATTACTTATACACCTTTATATGTGTGGCGTTCGTAAGAGAAACATTTGTTTCCACAGGAATTCTCAGTCTAACCAGTTTCTTTACGGAATGACAGGTAACGTTATGGATGTCAACAAACAGAAACACCGTATTCTACCGATACAGGCAGTATAACTGGAAGTGGCCGAGGGCGTATGGTAAATGTTGGCGCTAATGACGCGAAATTCAGGTGAACATCCGGCGTTATTCTTTCTTCATGCCGTATACCAGAACAAATCCCCGCAGCGAATTAACTCTTCACGGTCACAAACGATGGTTTGTGGGGAAAGGTTTTGTTAACTAACGTATTTTTGTCTAGTAAAAAAATACTGCCAGATTTCAATTGCTGTTGGAAATGAGACTTAATTCCAGCACTATGCTTGTTTTCGAATTTACCCTCGTTCCATGAAACAGAAGAGCAGTTACGTGGAGCGCAAATGTAGTAAAGTGGAACACAAAACCAGTAACGTAGAATACAAACACAGTTACGTGGAACACAAAAATTGTTTCGCGGTACACAAGTGTAGTAACTTTGAACGCAGTACGTAACATCAATTACGTTTCATCTAACTACATCTATTTTTTTTTATCTACATTGCTGTTAATGTACTTCCTTTAAGTAAGTTGACACGTGGACATGCGCATGCTTAGATGTAAGTAAAATGCCTTATATAGACTTACAGATAACTTTTCGTATCACTAATGAAGCCCTTTCTGCTGGAGGCCGACGGAAGCTACATATTTTGCTGACGAGACGAACTTGTCTGTTTGACCATAGGTCACTCGGTACCAGAGGAGCGTCTGTCGGGAGTTCAGTCTGGACATCCTTTTATATCAGCTCATTCACTAAACACGTGTTTGCAAATTGTGTTGCGCCAGGGACTTGTTTGTCAAGTGTCGTTGTTACCTGTAGGGTTTACAGGAAGGAACATGATCCCCACGGCGACGCTTTATTTACCAGACAACATCTTACAAGACGGACAATATGCAACTGATTATACTTAAAGTCGAGCTCAGCACCTCCTTATTTCAGAAGGATGCCTTACCACTTAAGCTGTCTCGTGTTCACTAGCGATCGATCCAGTCAAAATGCGTCAAAAGAGTACAAGTATTTCTGTTTCTGTATGAGAAGAAATAATGGCCATAGGAGACTTCAAACATGTATGCAGTTCACAACAACTTTTATACTGTCAGAGCACTGCGTAATTGTCTGACATGACATACAATAACTCGTTCCAAATCGAGACCGATTTCGATGTTTTGCATAATTATATAAAAACATTCTCCTTCCATATCGCACTATATCGGTTGTTGAGATTTATAAAATAACAATAACAACGACGAAAAAATCTCTCATTCTTGATCGAGATCGATCGATCCCAAGATCGATTTCGAGTGTTGTATATTATTTGAGTCTGACATGTATAAGGACGAAACAACTGTATGCTGAAATGCAATTAATTTTTTGGCATAGTATTTCTATTACCAAATTATAATGATCATCATATGAGACATACAATAAGATCTCTGAACGTTTATACCGTATAGCGGGATATTTCCGCGGGGATGATATTTTCGCTATTTCGCGGGTCAATTGTTTGATCGCGAAAATATGATCTGCAAAATAATATGCCAAGCGTAAAAATATATACTTTATATAGAGTATTTTATGCCGTGTGTCCCGCCTCCGTGCTAAAGCACCGCGGAAATTAAGTTCCTTCACCTGTTGAGATCGCGAAATAATAATCCATGTTAATTTATTTTCTAATTTTGGGCCGTAACCGCGAATATTTAAGCCCTCGTAAAAAGTCCATTACACGGTATATATAGTGTTTAGGTGGGGTATTGGGTGCATGTATGCTCACGTACAATTTCCTTGATGTATTTCAATGTATAGTGTACGTCGTTGACGCTTGTTTGGTTTTAAACAATGAATACTGCAATGTAATTACATGAAGGTTACATTATCTTTAATTCAAAAACCTACTCTCAGACAACATTACACTTCAGTTTTAGCTGGGATTTGAATAGAAAATGTTGACATTTTCTTTCAATGAGTGTGATGACGGGAGTAATCAAGTGGCCATTTCCAATTTCAAGATGCCCC